CCCCGCCCGCGCCCGAGTCAGGCCCCGCCCCGCCGGTCACGCCTGGCGCGAGGAACGGCTTACCCCGCCCCGGGGGCAGAGCTTCCTGCCTCATAACTATGTATCTTGGGTGTGGCCTCGGGAGCGCACCCCTCCCACTCCGCGCGCTCCCCAGTGGCCCTGGAGAGCTCTGCGGAGCTGGGCGAAACCATCTGCGGCAGTCAGGCGGGGGAGCGGGCTGTACCATCCGAGGCTTCCGCCACGCCGAACCTCCTGTGCTGTTAGGCTGGCCTTTTGCGTTCAGGCTTGTGCCGCCTCCTTCCTCCTGCGGATCGGAGGCCGGAGCCGGTCGGCAATTGTCGGGCGCTTAAGGTCTCTGCCCTCAGACCCGGCCTGGCCCCTGTGTGAGTGCTCCAGGGCCACACTCCTGATGTCCTTTTTGGAGGACGCGCGTACAGCTGGCTGACCTCTGGGGAGCACCTCGCCCGAGTGACCCTATCTGGCCCAGCTCCAGGTCCAAGCAGCCTATCACAGGGGCTGCGGACAGTGTGGTCGGGTTTGAGCGGGTCGTCAGTCTCGATGTGCCCGATAGTGGCTGAACTCCCCAAGCTGTAAGGAAAGGCACACGGTTTGTCGTTTGTTCTGAAACACGCGTTCATGCGCCCCCCCCCCCCCCGTGCCAGCCCTGCTGCAGGTCCACGCACAGCTGGTGAGCCCATACCCACTCCTCTCCCCCAGGAAGGACGCCAAACTGGGTCCAACAACAATCCAGCCCGAACAGTTCTGGAGGATATCCCTCCTGTGTCTTCATACCATGAAGTCATAGGCAAGGAGCTCAGTGGAGCTGCAGGGCCACAGTTTCAGAAAGCAACAGCAGCAGGGCCTGCGGGGGGTGGGGGGCGGGGGGAGACAGGCGGGCACGGGGAGAGGGCTCCTCAAGTGGAGAATTCAGGAGACCCCAAAAAACTCAGTAACCAAAATCCCTGCAAAATTTGCAAGGTCTCTTGTTCAAAAAGTATTAAGAATTTCAGGGCAGCAACAGCAGAAGCACAGGCCTCCAAGGGAGGGCAGCATGTGGCCGTGCTGGTCTGCCCATGAGTCCTCCTAGAACTGCCCCTCACAACCTGGAGGTGCTCAGAAACTGTAGTCTGATCTCCATCTAGCCTGCCAGATGGCATGTTGGACGCAAAGATCTGGGTGTTTGGGGCACCCAGAATCCTGATGCAAGTCCAGAGGCAGACTGAGCGATGGTGCCCACTCACCACTTGGTCTCAGAGTACCTTGGGACTCTAGCAAGGAGCCGCCTCTTGCTGCGCTGTGTTTTCATGCGTTGACCTGCCTGCCACTACTTTTTCTTCTTTGCATAGAGCTATTTCAAAAAAAAGAAGGGACCAGGTGCACCATCACTATCACCTCCTCCAGGGTTTGTGGGCCTGAGTCTTATACATTTGGTGGTGGTGGGGGGGCAACTTCGCTAAGAAAAATTGTTCAAAATTATGTAGGGGCTTTGGTGGGGGTGACTCCATTGTGGCCCACACCCACACCTGGGAGGCCACACCTGGCCTCTTCCACAGTGTTGAGCACCTGGGTGGCTTTCAGAGAGAAAAAGAACATTTGCATGAGGGGACTTTAAAGGGTTCATGGAAAAATGGAATTAAAGCATGAATTTATTTTAGTAACAAAAAAGTTGAAATCCATACATTTTTATTTTTTTGGTAATACTCATTTTACATGACCTTTTTGAATACCCCTTGTACATTTTTTAAAGAATTATTTAATTTTATTTATTTATTATTATTATTCAATTTGAGCAGAGAGAGAGAAAGCAAGCCACCAGG